CAATCAGTTATCTGAGAAGTCCCATTATTATCATCACAAGCCTTTATTTAGTGCCCAAAGAACTCATGGCACCTTCATGGAGTTTACAGAGCTTCGCTTATATGCTGACCTTGCTCTTAAGGAGCTTACAATCTAGTGGAAAGACTTAGAGATGCAGATATGATAAAGCAATGACTGAACAGACACTACAGTACGAAACATTACCATAAACATAACACACATACTGCAAAATAAGGGTTAATGGGGGGGGGGGGGGAGGCCCGGGTTGTAGATAGCCCAGTTATAGCCCTGACTTCCTGAAGGTAATGGAAACCTGTGATATTCAAAGGGCATACAAGAGTTAAGAACAGCAGCAAAGAACCAAGACACTTCTGAGCCGCTGCTCCATCTTTCCTTACTCCCTGTTGCTGGGGAGAAATGCACAAGGCGGTTAGGGGTAGAAAGAATAGTGGAAACTTTTATATATTTTTAGTACATCTGGTTGACGAACTACAACAGTCAAGTTGTACATGGTAGTTAGCTTAACCACTTAAGAATGCCCTAACTTGGCTTTAAAAAGGGGGAGAGGAGGGGTTAAAAAGCTGCTCTCCACCTATTAGGCCAAGGGAATGGCCACTCTGCCAGAGAACCTAAGACTCCATCTAGCAATACACCTTGCTGACCACTTTCAAACCTTATTACTTGACTGAATGCTATCAGATACACAATAAGCTGTTTATGGAGGCAGTATATCTGCATATACAAAGGGAAATGGCTGGAGGTAGAAAATACCAGTAGGTAATACAAGTTTTATTAATGAGCTTAACAGGGAGGTGATCCCTAAGGAACAACAGAGAAGTGTGGCAATACCAAACTCACTGCTATCAGATTTCAGAGTGATCCTGTAGGTCATGTTACAAATGTCCCCGTGGGTTTCTGAGACTGTGATTCTTACGGTAGCAGAAAGCATCATCCTTCTCCCTTGGAACCTGGTGGTTTCAAACGAACTACTTCATGGTTAATAGCCCACCATGTAATTGCTACACCACCAGGGCTCCTAAACTACGACAGCAAGAGAAAATACAAGGTTTCCTTGGTTCCTCCCACAACTGTGAACCCAGAGCCAATTTTCACCTAAAGCCATACCCCTTCCCCAATGTTCTCTCATTAATTTTGGTGAATAATCGTATATAAGGTTTCTGAGGCTATACATTCTTATGGAAGCATTTTAATTATCTTTCTCCTGTGAAGAGGCTGGTGAGTTTGACCTGCCAACTCTGTGGCAAGAGATGAGAAATATTTTCCTAAATCCAAGATTTATATATCATCACTGACAGTAGCCAACAAGAGTCAAAAAATAATATATAAAAAAGATGGGGGAAGGGTGGTTTAACAGGCTCAAAATTGGAGCAAAGGAAGGATACTGGATTACTTAGGAGGCAGATGGAGCACCACAAAAACCAAGATTGAACGATGACCACCAATAACCAACACTACAGACGCATGTAGACTCAGGATTATTAGATATAGCGGTTTCAAAGAACAGAAAAATCGGAGATATCTTAGGATATGTTACAGTTAAGAACAACATGGTCAAACAATCCACCAGCTAC